TTGACACTTAAAAGCTCTTTCTAAAAAGCTTGGCAAAACACAAATTATTTCTCAAAAGTGCTTTTCAGACTGATTAGCCAAACACAAATTGCTTCTCTCCAAAAGTACTTTTTTCAAAAGCACTTTTGAAAAAAGTACTTCTCAAAATAAGCTGATTTCTCCAACTTGCCCAAACAGGCTATTAGTCTCCCTACTTTTAGTTGTTTCATTTTTCTTTTTTTTTTTTCACGTTTTGTTTAATTTTGCTTCAAATTTTTTTTACACCGCTTTATTCCTACATAATTAAAATATAATATTGAGCATAAAGTAATATAATTAACACTCAAAAGACGATTAAAAGTATTAGAACATGAGGCAATACTAGTTAAATATATGCATTTTTTGCCGAAATTATGATAGTTATACAAAATAATAAAATAAAATAAAATAATAGAAACCCGGCTCGGCCCCTTAAACCAGTAACAGTTCCGGTTTAATTTTTACCCGGATAGACCCGAACTCGTTAAGTTCTGTTTGGATGGGAGAAATTCAAAGCCAGATTTACAAGTGGTTATTCAAAAATAGCCACTGTTTCAATGTAATCGAAATTTAGCCACTTTTTATGTAAAGATAAATCTGAACGAAAACACTGCTCAAAATCCAGAAAAATACTCCAGTATAATATACTGGAACTCTAGTATATTTCCAGTATATTATACTGGAGTTCCAACATAATATACCGGTCTAGCATAATATACTCCAATTTCTAGTATATTATACTGAAACTTTCCGTGTGTTGGAGTTCCAGTATAATATGCTGGAAGTTCATACACAGGTGCACCGATCTCCAGTATATTATGCTGGAACTTTTCGTGTTGCAGCAAAATAGTAGCTAATTTTCAATGACTTTGCAAAAGTTGGCTATTTTTGATTGGCTAGGCCGAAAACTAGCTAGCCCGTGGTATTTTTACGGTTTGGACAAACCGGTAATCGGACCGGATTGTGACCGGCCGGTCACTTATTTTCTCAACCCGGCCTGGCACACCCATTAGACACCTTTACTTACTCCTATCCCGAAAACTATTTGCGATAGACCCTCCGCTCAAGAAAAGGAAAAAAAACGAAAAAGACAATAGTGTTATAAAATAAAGACTATAAAGTAAAGACAAGTATAGAGAGAAACTGATATATTATTCGAATTCAAACTGATGTACATAATGAACTGAAATCTCTTCTATTTATAGAAGAAAGAAAGCTGTTGTGTAAGCTGCTACTACAAGCTGCTGTGTAAGCTGCTACTACAAGCTGCTGTGTAAGCTGCTATTACAAGCTGCTGTGTAAGCTGCTACGCAAGTTGCTGTGTAAGCTGCTACTATACCAGATATGGATAATCTTCTNAACATCCATAATATAATATATTTATAACACTCCCCCTTTGATGTTCATTAAAAGATAATGTGTCTCATTAAAATCTTACTAGGAAAAACCACGTGGGGAAAAATCCTAGTGAAGGAAAAAGAGTACACATATTTAGTAATACACATTGCTAGGTGCCTCATTAAAAACCTTATAAGGAAAACCCTATGGGAAAAAACCTTAGTAAGGGAAAAAGAGTGCATCACGTATTTTACTCCCCCTGATGAAAACCTTGTTTCAAATATTTGAGTCTCCGCATTCCAATCTTGTATACCATCTTCTCAAAAGTTGAAGTTGGCAAAGATTTAGTGAATAAATCTGCTGGATTATCACTTGAACGGATTTGTTGCACATTAATGTCACCACTTTTCTGAAGATCGTGTGCGTAAAATAATTCTGGTGAAATGTTCTTCGTTCTATCTCCTTTTATAAATCCTCCCTTTAATAGTGCTATGCATGAAACATTGTCTCCGTATAATATTGTGGGTCTTTTATCACATTCCAACCCACATGTTTCTCGAATGAATCACTGATCTCAATCATATGCACTCCCTGCTTGCCGGTTTGAAATCGAGCTTTATGGGTATCGGATAAATAACCTGCATCTGCATTACCAATACGATCTGCACCACTTTTGTTAGCATTAGCAAGATAAATAAGTGCACCATCTACACCGAGATAGAGTATTTCAGGACCAAGGAGCTCCTCATCCTCTTCTAGAGGTTGGAACGGATCCTTATTCACTTCAAGTGATTGAATATTCATTGGTGTACTTAATGGGTACACTTTGTCCATATAAAAGTTTTTTTAAGACCCTCTTGGAGCTCTTCCGGAGTTCCAATAAGATTTATGTCACCAACATAAACAACAAGTGTAACAAATTTTGATGACATTTTTTTTTATAAAAATACATGGACAAATAACATAATTTATGTAAATTTCTTTCAACAAATATTTACTGAGGCGATTATACCACACGCGCACAGATTGCTTTAAACCGTACAAAGATCTTTATTTGATCGAGTACATTTCTCAAGACTTTGAATTATATGCTTCGGGCATTTTTTATCCTTCAAGGATCTTCATATAGATTTAGCCAAATAAGTCATATAGGTTAAGACTTGTATCTAAATGGTATGACATCTTCAAGTGTCTGGACTGCTAGTCCGATCCTCACAATCTTTTACAATATTGTGCACTATATTGTATTAAATATATCGTCGACGATCATTTTGTGTCAGTTCCGAAGCGACATAACTTGTGGAAATCTTATCACTTTCTTTATTTTCAGGTACCTGAACTTTTTTTGGGAGTTTCATGAAATGTTATGTCGTGGGCTCTTCTAGAGCTTATTTCCTCCTCATTTTGATCATTAGCTCCTACTATTTTTCAAGGATTGTTACCTTTGGAACCGATTGGTCTACCACGCTTCATGCGTACAGTAAACTCTATCCTTCAGGGACTTTAATTTTAATAGGAGCATTTGCAGCTGAAATATGATATTTAATTTTGGATCAGCAAATGCTTCTGGCATTCGACTTGAATTATCTTCTAAGTGAGGATCATGATAATTCGATTCATATAGCATATTTTTCAACTGTTTATTCCATCCCCCAAATGTTAGAAAAACTAACATATATCCCCAATCATCTTTGGGAAACATATCTTTGTGTATTATGGTAGAGAAATTAATCATATACCACACAATAAAATATAGTAAAAATATTTGGTTTCTGATCCTAAACCAATTGTGAAGGGAGGACTTATCATATATTGTTGATCTGATGCATACAAGTGCTGCTATATGCAATTTAGAAAATCTTAGACCAACACATGAAGCTTTGTTCTCATAAGCAATGGTTTAGCCATTAATAGGAGGTATTCAATGCTAAACCAGCTTGGATATAAACCAGCATTATCAAGATGAACTGTCTTGATTTCATAATCTGAAAATTATGCTCTTAATCGAGAAAAGCAATTCCAAATGCCAAACTGCAGGTTGACAATAATTACACATGTAACCATCTCATATATGCACCTATAAGTGGTTCACATGATAGGTGAACGGGCCCATATTCACCTTTTATATATTTCAGAATCAGGGGTCTTAGTCCCAACTTTAGCTGGTATAATCAATTCATTATGAGAACAAGCAACACATGAGAATTCCTGAAGAATCTTCTAGTTCTTTAGTATATGCTTATCTGAATTCTCAAATAGCTCATTTAAAAATGGCAAATGAAAACTTCAAGTTTATCATGTCATGTGCTATCTCTTAGTAAACTTCTGGTTTACTATGACATAAACTTTTGCTTTAGTAAACTTCTGGTTTACTATGATAAATGATATAGTACAAATTAAAGAATAAGGTGGGTAACTTCCCACATACATATTATTTTACCCCCTATGATTGTGGAAACATGAAGATTATCAATCTTCCAATCATTTGTAGTCTCAATATGATAGTCATTTGTATTAGTAAACTTCAGGTTTACTACAACATATGTTTTGACCATAATCATATAATATGAATGATATATTTGTATATAAGCACTTCGAGAGCCTTCATTTATTATCCACAATCTAATATTTATCATGCACTACTGGTGTCATGTATCCTTTAGGTAAACAGTTAGCTCTTCAGGAGTTGTTGATACAATTTGTACTATCAAATATTTCTCATACACTTCTGGTATCATGAGAGAAAATCACAATCAAATAAATAATGTAAAACAATTGTTTAAGCACAAGAAAACTCTTCTTCATAATATGTTCCTNNTGGTGGTTGTATATTTCTTGCAAACTCTGCTAGAGTTTAAGTTGATCTAATAATATTATCCATATTCTTCAAAATGACATAAATAAGATATATTGTAGTAAACATCATTATCAAATCATAATTTTTC